TTTTGTCAGAGTGAAAGGCTTGTATGAGCTAGTTCAGACTGCATATGGAAGAGAGATGGGCTCAATAGTCATGTCCAGAACATGGCTGAAAGATCTGGCTAAAAAATTTCTGGGGGAAATTAAAAAAAAAAAACCAAACCACCCCACTTTTCTTCAAAACTGTGTAGTCGGTGAGAGAGCTGTGCTGACAGCAGTAGGAAACAGATTTAGCTGTCTGAACAGATCTGTTACCCAACTTTCATGTTGCTCTAAAAGTTAATTTTAAATAAAGGGAAATTCCCTGTTTCTTTAATTTCAGAAGCTCCAAGGTAGCTGACATCTTAATTGGACAAGGCTCCAGGTTTCTGTGAGAAAGTTTGGGGTCTGTAAGAACTGGGGTTACGGCAGGAGGGATGTGAGAAAAGCAGGAGAAAACTAACAAGAAAACCCCCAGATAATGTAAAGTTTAGTAAAGATTCTGCTAAAGAAAATTATGTAGAGAATTTCCTTTTAAATAATTTTAAAAAGAAAAATCCTTTTAACTACTTGTAAAGAACTTCGCTCTGGTTCATTTATAAACTAAATGAAATTATTCAATTTAAAATAGCCTTCCACTAATCTTCCTTTCAATTCTCTTTTGTTTTGGATTTACTGCAAATGCTGCAGAATGAGGAATTAGTATTTGTAAAATGTCCTATCATCTAGACTAGAATTTAAAGCACATTGTTTTCACATTAGAATATTTATTCTTCTGTAAATCTTTGATAAATGTTTTCATATTTTCAAACTTGTTAGTAAAAAGTTTGAAATACAGTAAAAGCAGGTTATGTAGCAAAAAGTTTACATATTAAAACATGATCTCTTTAAAGAAGAAAATTATCTAAATTGATCTACTTGTAGAATTCATTAATGATCAATGGAGTTTTGAGTTGTGGAAGGACACAGCTCCTAGTCCACATTTATAATATTGTAATTGGAAATGCAAATGGGTAACAGAGTTAACTCAGATTTTCTGGAAATAGGTTTTAATTCAGCCGAAGAAAAGCAGTGCACAAATGGATACGTGCTTGTAACAAAAGGAAAAAAATACAGGAATTTTAAAAGCACAACCCTAGAAGCAAGGCTTGAACTTTTTACCTTTAAAATAAGACAAACAAAAGCTATACAGAAGTACAGTGATGCAGTTGTCAAATTGGGCAACCATAATTAGCCATACTTAAACCTTCCTACGCACGGTTGGGTTATGATGCTGGGCTGTGCGCTCCAGCTGTCTGGGATGCATCACAAGTTCTGTTCGGCTGCCGTTGCAAAGAGAGGGGGGAGGATTTCTCTCTTTGGATGCTGTTCCTTAACCTGTTTCTGAACGTAGGCTGACCCTTGAACAGATGTCACTTCAAGCCAGGGGACAAAACGTGGAAGGCCCAGGATTCACGCACAGCCATCTTTTTGATACAAACCCGCTTCGGTTTGTTGGGGTTGCCCGCGTCCAGGTTGGAGTTGTTGCCTACGGGGATCTGGGAGGCTGCTCTGTGCAAATGGGATGTTTTAGAGGCTTTTCCAGTAAGCCTCTAAAATGATCCACTAAGCATGTGCAAATACCAATTTTCAAAGACTTAAAGTATAGCCAAAGCAGAATAAAAGACAAATCCATCTTGCCAGTTTTCAGGTTTTCGCTCAGGAGCTTGGATTCATGCTAATGTTCTTCAAACAAACAGTCAAGAGAAAATTAAAACATCTTCTTACCAAGTAATCAGTTTCCTCTCAAAATTTATCTTTTGATACAATTTAGCATTTTACTTAATTACTCTGGAAAGTAGTCTGAGACAATGCAAGAGGGGGAAAAGTAAAGCTCAAAAAGTTACATGCCTGGCTGAGAAACAAAAAATGGAAAATAAAATTGTATGATGTAGTTTTTTAAGCAGCTTTAACAATAGACTTTATTCTGCCTAAATTGAAACACACTGCATTTACTAGAAAACAGTCTTTAATAAATAACTGCATAAACTTAGAAGTATTAATTGGTCCTTTGGAGATCAATCTTTTTTACTTTTTTAGTGCAGGAAAACACATACTGAACCCAAACCTGCTTCTGATTAAGTCAGTGAAAGCAGGAGTCTGATAAACATTTAGTTTGACACAATGAATTCAAGATGTTGGAATTATTTCATCCATTTTTTTAAGCATTTTTCCTGAATCCTTCATTCACTGAAATTGTAAGATTTTAGTAGGTCTGTAACATCTTCCTGAGAATTTTTTAGGCTAAAGGTAAACTAAATGCATCCAGAAAGGTGAATTGAATGACATCTGTTACACAGAAGGTAACATGCACACTTGAATAAATAAATTACATAGGGATATATTAAAATAATCCCCTTACTTGTTCACACAGGATAGAGCACCCAGGACAAGTATAATGTATACACATGGTTTTGTGAAAATTTTTATTGGTTTGGATATCCTTTTTATCCTTAATGGACTACCAATAAGTGCAAGATGTCTTTTACTCATGCAGAGAAAAATGTCTGTTTATAAATGTACTACTTTTAAAATAGTATTAGTTAATTAACTTACCATGTCTGTGGACTGGGATGCCATTTTCTATAGAAAACAAATATAAGGCAAATAAAATACTGTACTACACAAAAGGTTTCATACTGCTATGGAACAAAAACTGTTCCTTTTACAAAGTTCGATTGTTCGTATTCTTTGCCAAGCAAATGAAAATCAGAGGACTTAGTTTTCTGATTAAGAAAACCTGATTCAATTAAGAAAATCTGATTCATTCGAGTGTGAAAAGTGCTTAAGATGGATACTTCTTAAATACGCTAGCTAGGTAAATCAATGATTTTGCTTATGAAATATTGCTGAAGCATTTGGATCTGTGGCCATGATACACGCCTGTCTGAAAAGAAATTATTGTGATTTTCATGCTGAACAAGAAAAAAACCCATATGTAAACTTTCTAAGCTAGAACTGCCTATCAGGGTATCTCTGGGCTGATCTTACTTCAACAGGAAATCGTGACACTTAACCTGCTAAGTGAACACGTGGGGAGTATTACACTGTATATGCAATGAAACACACAGTGTTTATTTTGTGTAGCATTCTCCTACTCCCTTAAATACATACAAGATGGGAACTCGCAGACTTTTTTTAACCTTTAGCTGCTATCCTTGCACAGAAACTACTAAACAAAAATCCACGGACTAGTAAACCACTTGAGTTCGTTTTATTTCATCTAACACTGATCGCATTTCCAGTAGACAATAAATATAATGCACTGCTGACAGATGTGTAGAAATGTATATACAATTAGATGAAGAAATCCGGGTCAAGGCAGTTCAAATATCGGTTTATGCCTTTGCATTTCCTTGAATATGGTTGTAAAATTCTTACCTGCTGATGCATGGCCTCCTGCAATATCAGTTTTCCCCAGCTCATCCAGACTGCTGCTGGGGGGGCTGCCCTGCCAGTGAGTGTTGGTGCATCTCAGGCTCGATTCGAACATTTACTGGAATAAATGAGATTCTTTGCCTGGGCTTCATGTGCCTTTAGGTAAGGTGTTGGTGCATTTTCCCAGCTGAGATGTAGTGTTTCCTACATTTCCTGGAAGATGTTCAAGACAGGAGAGCTCTAAATCTGTGTCGTGAGTTAAATGAATGCAATGAGAAGGAAGCTAAAGCATCCAGGAGATCGATGGAATTAGGAACACAAAATGGGAAACAGTTTTGTTCTGTGGCTGTTTTGTGGCTTTTTTTTCTTTTCCTTATCTTGGAGAGAAAAAAAAAATAGAATCAGACAGCAGACCCATATTTGATGGAAGGATGGTAGGTTTTTATTTGGTTGTGTTATTTTCCCCCACAGGAGTATGTGTGGAGCACAGAATTTCACAGACAATTTCGAAGTGAAACTTGCAATAAATAAAGATGCTGGGTGTTGCCTTAACGATTTGCCACTGCTCTCCCTACCCAGAATATCAAGCAGTTACTCTTACTGAACTATCCCAACTGTTCATCTCTTTCCTAGACATTTCAGTCTTCTACAATGCAATTGGACTTTTACAGCTCTGTAAGACAATCTTTTTGTTGGCCTTTGTAGTATACATGTGGTAAATGGTTCTCCAGTCACAGATGGGCTGGCAACTTTTCTTATACATAGCAAAAATGTTTCTTTGGGGAAAAAATCTGTGTAATTAATTTATAAATGAAGCAAGGAAAAGGCGAGCACACATTGCAAATTGGATTGCAATTACCGGTCTAACAAGAAATGCTCCATGTCTGCTTTGTCTGCTTTGTCTCAGAAAGACAGATCTGTTGTCACTGAATGAAAGCCGTCCACAGTCCCCCAGTACAACTGTGACACTGAAATCCGCTGTGGTCTGAATCCACTTGAAATTTTACACCTTTCTGAGAAATGACTCAGAAGAACAAAATTAAAAAATCAAGTGAGCTAGTAAGAATATATGCATTCATAAGAGTGAAGAATCTTCCAGATGTACGTGGAAGTTCTGTTCATTCACCTGTATGGTCTGTTCCTGTGATTTAGTGTGATGCAGTGACTGCAAGTGGTTGCAGTACAGATAATGGGAGGCAGAAGTTCCTGTTCTGACTTTTTGTGTAATGACTGACTTTGCACTTCATTTCTCTGTTTTCTTCTAAGAAATACCTATATACATGCATTTAGCCATTTATCGCTCCATCTGTCATCCATGTATATGCAATCCCTTCTGCACATCTTTTACAAGCTCTTTGAGCAGTTTCATAAGCCTGTGTCATTTACCTCATAATACGTACAGGAAAAGTGAAAAATACTGCCCTTGTTGCTGTTCACATGGAATTATTAGCTACTTTCTTAGGTTTGGTAAAAAGCAAAGAAGACCTTAAAGAAACCTGTGTTGCTTTGTTCATCTGGCTGCATTACAACCTCTCCATGTAAAAAAAAAAAAGTTGTTATAGGAAAAAATAGATTATTATGGATAGTATCGCAATGCATTTAAATACTGTCACTTTCTTCTTTAACAGGTCTATGGAAATGCAAGATTTAGCCAGCCCTCATAATCTTGTTGGAAGCAGTGATGCGCCGGGTAGTTCCAAACTGGATAAACCTAATCTCAGTAGCACATCAGTTACAACAAATGGAACAGGAGGTAAGTATAAGTCACTGCTGGCACATAGAAAGTTTTGGCTAGTTTTTAGTCATATGCATTTTTTAACATAATTTCAAGGATGAACATAAACCCATTTATAAACCCAGCAAGAATTATTAAAAAAAAGGCAGTCATACTAGGGTAAATCTACTTATTCCAACAGCACTTCTTCAATTTGCACCAATTGAAGTAAGAGGCAGAACTGTGCAAAGGTGAAACAAGGAAAATCTTGGAATGGTTGATTTGAACAAAGTGTTAAAGGTTTGGTTATACTTGTTGGTAACTTGAAATAGATTACATTTTCTGCATCATATTTCATTGCTGAGTAATAATTTATACCCTGAGCTACACACATTTAGGTTAATTTAAAATCTCTGTCAAAAGAAGTTCATAAAAATTAAGCTCAGGTAATTTTTTTACATGATGAACATGCTAATTCCAATTCTTGGCAGGTAATGAAAGTTTGTCATAAAGAGATTTTTATATTTTCCTCAAAAGTAACTGGTTATTACTGCTGTATCTATTACTGTAGGGACAGCACTACCATGCAGCTACAACACAGATGTTTCAATGCTTTCAGATAAAGGATTCTGCCATAGCTGAATTGGAGCAGTGGGAGGCAGGGTACCACGTTCTGAGGTGGAGTCCTGTGCCCACTAGTGTCTATGAGAGTGACACCACGGAGATGAGTCAAGCTAGAGTTTCAGCCCTCCTTTTTGGAGTTTATACGTTGTTGTCTGTTTTAACAGTTGGCACCAAGAAAATTTTTTTAGTTAGTTCTTTCTGGCCACAATGTAAAGCATTTTGTTCACGTATACCTATTTAAAAAAATATCTGTCAATGTCAATAAAAGGTGTATGTGCATGTGAGGGTAACAGCTCTGTAGAGAAGGGCTCAACTATTAAGGTTCAGCCTATTTATATTTTTAAATAGAATCCTTATTCTGGCACAAAGAGAAGGGAAAACTTCAAGTATACCATTAAAGAACACTAATAACTAGGTGCCTCTATATTATACTTGCATAAATAAACCAGTTAAAATAATACTCATAAAAACAATACAGTGCCATTAAAAGACTTGGCTCAAAGTGCAAAAACACTTAACTTGCCTTGAAGACTGTTCACGTACCCTGAACAGACACTGGGACAATGAACCATTATACCATTCCTGTTCTCAGGAGACAACATGACTGTGTTAAATACTGCAGACTGGTTGCTGAGTTGCAGCACTCCCTCTTCTGCAACAAGTATGAGAGACCCTGGTACAGTGCATGTGTGTGGTGGTGTGGCTCCGTGACTGCTGTGTAACATCTCTCTTGGTTTGCTCTGTTCTTTTGTTATGCGGTTTGAACATTTTTATGGGGTTCTTCCCCCCACCCTTTTTTTTTTCCCACTCCTTCTCAGAGGCCTTTCCCACAGCCAGAAAACTGGTAGGAAGTTACAATATAAATAGTTACCTTACCATACTTTGAAAGTCATTTGATGAGCAAGGACAATTTAACCCACTTAGAATTAGCTTAACCATCTACATTCTCTGAGAGACTGGGAGAGCCCCGTGGTGAGAAACATTGCTGGGAACTACCAGTAGTCAGCATTGCTGGAATTCAGACCAATGGATTTTCCACAGAATGCCCATATGTTTTTCTTTTATTTTTAGGTACAACATTGCATGATTACCTGAGCACAAATCAAGGTTGACATTATTGCTACTCCTCCTCCTACTATTTTTATTATTAATTAAAGCTTATGTCTATTCTGCTACTGCATGTAACTTGCCACTTTACAAACATTTGGGCAAATTTTCCAAGCTGTTCATTTATGAGTTTCCTCTCATGTATTATTAATTGTTACGAGTTATAATGATTAATGATAATCACATATCTGACACTGTTGCAATACATATGGATTAATCATAGGTGTAAACATGCATCACCATGACTCTCTACAAGCCATTACAGAGGTGCTTAAGCTGTGCAGGTTTGGACTAACGTTACGAAGATGTCAAAAAGTTTCCTTTTAAAAAAAACCTCAGAATTAGCTTGCCATTTGTAAGCCACATATCCAGAGAGAATTTACCCAAAAAAAAGTTAAGACATGAGCACAAAAGATCATTTGCACTAGAATAACTGATTCCATGTGAATGCTTCTGCTCAGTTACAAGAATTTAAGTTTAAGGAAGGACTGAGCTAACTTAGTCACCTCAGTTAACTGTTCAGCATGTTCAGATAAATGTGGAAGGTAATAATTTAAGTACTAATTATCAATAGTGAGGAAATGTAATGTGAAAGTCCTTGCCTTACTTACATTAAATCTGATTTTCCGTAAGCAGTAGAATGTTTAGAGCTGTGCTTCTAGTTGAATATATTCCTAGGAAAACCCCTAAGGCTTGCTAAAAGAAAGAGGAAAATTGTTCCTATGACAAGCTGTGTGGTTTGTTGTTTTACATGAGCTTTTTTGTTTGTTCTAATAGCTATTGCACTTGGTTGTCCTGCTTCATGCATAGTAGTAGCATCTCTTGCCCCTAAAACCCTGTGTTCATTTTCAGTCCTTAACGTAGAGAGGTTCTTTAGGAAAAAAAAAAGTCATGTTGGTCTGCTAAGTCCTTTCATCAAGTGAAGAACTTATGTTGTAGAAGCTGTTGCCTTTTGGGAGCTGTGTTCTGAGTTCGTCTTAGAATAATTAAGTTTGGAAGGGATCCCTGGAGGCCAGCTGGACGAACCCCTGCTGAGAGCAGGGCCAACTTTGCTGTTAAATCATGTTGCTCAAGGCATCATCTAGTTGAGTGTTGAATATCTCCAAGGTGGAGCTGTCACAGCCTCTCCAGGGCCTGACTACTCTCACAGCAAAGAATTTTCCTCTAATTGGATTTTTCCCTTGCTGCAGCTTGTGCCTGTTGCCTCCTGTCATTTCACAGGGCATCTTCTGAGAAAAGTGTGCCTTTGTTCTTTGTCGTCTTTCCACCTTCCCATTCGATAGCTGCAGGCAGCAATTAGGTCTCCCCTCAGCCTTTTCCTAGGACAGAACAAGCCCAGCTTCTTCTGACTGTCCTTGTACATCATATGCCCCAGCCCCTGACCGTTGTGGTAGCTCTACTCTGTTAGCATTTGCAGTCTTCACTGTTAGCCACACTTGAATGTATTTCCAGCTTGAGATGATTGCTTTTCGTTTCATTTTTTCTCTTTTGATAGGTAAAAAAAAAATATTAAAACTAATCCACATTTTAAAAAATAGAATATTAACTGTATAGTCTTTAAAGTATTCATCCAAAATGCTGCTTCAAACTCTTACTCTTTGTATTACATCTAGAGCAGTTGCCATAGTAATGTCAGAACCACGTTTTATCTCACATGTCGGAAACATAGGGATGATTCTGTGGTTTTAATTGGTGTCAGCTTTTATTTTGATTCCAACTTTAAATGTTCCTGGGTTTTTGATCTGATGTTAGAATTCTCTCTCTTTTTTTTTTTTTTTTCCAGTTAGTTTTGTGCTTTTTCCCCTCTTGGTTTAATGACATGCAACACAAAGAAAGAAAGAGAATAGTCCAAATGTCTAGCTACACTGAGGAAAGACCTTGATGAATTCCTTACTGTGATAAAATCTGAATGTAATGAAGTAGAACTGTTTAAAAACAAGCACATATAAAATACTTTCTCCATGTATTTCTCAACAAAACACAGTGCCAATATGATGTTTTTCCTCAAGTTAAGTACATGAGTTTCTTTTGGTTTAGATCCTTTTCTGCTTGGTAGGGAGAGAAAAAGATGGTGACTATTGGTGCTGATGGAAGTGCTCTCAGCTGGCATTAACCAGAACTAGACACAACTCTAAAGTAAACATCTCAATTCATTACTGAAGCTATTGTTAAATAAAACAGGCACATACTGGAGTGTCTTTCTGGATGCAATACTGAACGTAGGTTTGTAGCTCGGTATGGGCAATAGTGGAATACCTTCTTGAACAGAAACAGATAAGTTACTAAGAAAGAAGTAGTTTTTTTCATGTAGGTAAATGTGCATACTCTGCAGAGAAGAGACATGCATCTTATAAAGTAAAATATGACTAAAGGTTGTCAGAGGGGAAAATACAAATCTTTCCAACTTAGTATGATTTTTTTCATTCTCCTACTGAAGTACATGTACACATCTCTATATAGTAATCAGAAAACAAATTAATTTAGTTACTTTTCATGCTTCAGGCAACAGTACGTGTTCCACACGAGCAAGAGCCCTGAGGTTCAGTGGAGGCAGTTGTTTTGTGACAAATGACCATAAGCTTTTTCTTGATGTTTATTGTATTGATCTGATGAAAATAAAATCACATCTTTCTCATCTAAATAGAGAAATGGGAATGCTTGATTACTTTTATGAATGACTCTGTTCATTTTGTGTAATTCTTGTCACAGCTTTTTTTAAAAATGGGAAGATAATAGCCTGCAAAATGACAAGGAGTACACAGCAGCTTGAAAAAATGTGGCTAAAATTCTTCCCTGATGATTTCGTATTGAATTAATATCCTGCCGCTTGCGGGAAGAATGTATGGGTGTGGCAGTTTAATTAAAGAGCTACGATAGTGAAAAGAAGTCCACATTTAAAAGACACGCATTCAAATATTCTTTAATTTCTCACAGTAAATGGGAAGATACAACTGTATAACTTGTGTAATAAAGCGCTACTTGTTTTCCTTAGCACAGGGGCACCGGCGACACTGCAGGGCACTCTGCCTGTCACGGAGACAAATACATCCCGATTTCTCAAATGTTCCCAACTTGGCAGTTGTCCCTTTGAATTCAGCGTAGGTCACTTGCGCAGTTGTAGACATCTGCAGCATCCCGTATGACTTACTGAAGTAAGATCCCTTAAGCAGTGTGACCGGAAATGGGGTGTGATACCGTAGGAGAGGTGACTCAGGCAGGGCCTGTCGCAGGCGGCTGTATGGGTGGCTGTGCAGCTCCCGGTGAGCTCCTCGTTGTGCGCACAGACACAGGGAGGAATGGCAGCGTGGTTCTGTAGGCGGTGGTTTCCCATGAGAAAACCAAATCCTTTATGTAGATCATCCACCACCTGTTCGTCTACAGACTGTAAGAGGGATGATGAACTTGAGGGCAGCTCAGGCTGTATTTGGACTGAATCGCCCTCTGGGAGTATCCCTCTTTCTAAACCGGACATAAAGGGAGATTAGTATGCACCTCGTTTATAGATTAGGTGACTTGAATCTAAGCCGTAGTTTGTAAATACACTGCCAGCTCAGACCGTGAAAGTCCTCCCTCCCCTTACGATTGCCCGTGAAGTCAAACGTGGATGCAGTGATGTTGGCAGACAGGAGCTTTGGTCAGCTTAGCTGATGTCCCTCAGAGGCGTCAGGTAACTAGTTGGCAGAAAATGTCTTTGCTTGGCATGTGTTAGACCTGCTGGGGGGCTCTGCCAGCCCGCCTGTCACAGCAAAGGCTTCTCCAAAAATCCCATACTGTGACCTTGGCATTTCCATACCTGGCGTACGACCGCGGTAGTGGCCCGTGCAGGGTCTCACTGACATTTCACTCTGCACCCCCAGGCAGCGACCGGTCCTGTGGTACCTATAAGCAGGTTGCTGATATATATGTGATAAATGCTCACACGCACCCCGAACTGACCTTCGCAAAGCAATTGTGACAATATGTTGGTGGTTTCCACGTTGTCAGTGAAACATCTGATAAAACCTGCAGTGTATTCTGTACTGCTGTTTCTTACCACATCAATTAGAAGGGTGATTCCCAAACTCCGTTACAAAAGTCCATGCCAGATGGTTTTTTCAGGTAACATATTAAAATATAAAATCTAGATTGCCTCTGTGATGCTTTCAGTTATAGCTTGGATGGTAAGAGTGCATGATGATCTGTGAGTAATAATTTGAGTTCAGAGTGGACCCAAATGTTTGGTAACCTCTGAGTTAGAAGCTGACTTGTCATGGCTGTCGTTTGTGTCCTACTCTAGTTATTTTGCTTTTTTCTTCTTTTAAACTTCTCTCTTCATTTATGGAAAATTGCTTGCTGGTGACCTAGCTCAAAAAGCCCCTCACAGACTCTGTAAAAGGGGAACGGGAAAGGCAGAATGCTGGCACTGTGAAAGTAATTTGCTTCTATATGAGCATGAAACCATATTATTATTATTGTTTCACTTGTCAGGCAAAACTATTTTTGTTATGTGCTACATCCCTTGACAGCTAATGTTTCCTTCCTCTCTGCTACTCTTAGGGAATTGTTAAAATCAATTAGGTTTAGGTTGAAATCTCCCTGGAAGATATTCCAGTTGCTGAAACCAATAGATAGACGAATGCACAGATAAAAAGCTGTGTAGATGCATGGCCATTGCGGACGTCTCAATACGGTGGTGGAGCGCAGGTTGAAGCTGTTGCACCGCATGCTTGTTCTAGCTGGACTACCACTAGCGAGACTGTGGCATGAAGACTCCCGTATAAATTTAGAAGTAAAATCTCATGTCTACTTATTCTTCTATGTAGTGTCTCTTCTTGCAGTCAAAACAGAACCCATGAACAGCAGTGAAACAACAACAACAACTGGAGATGGATCGCTTGACACTTTTACTGGGTCAGGTAAAGCCATAATAAGATCACCTATTGTTAGATGTGCATCAGTATAGCATTTAATAACCTTCATTAATGAACATTTCACTGCATGGAAGCAATCTTTAAAAAACTACAATAAAATAATATTTTAATACCAAATAATAATAATAATGATAGTTTTTTAATTTTTGTTAATGAAAATCTACATTTGTCATGAGCTATGATCTTAAAAAAGCTTTAATGATGCCTAAGATGGTTACTGTATGCAAAAATATTATAGTAATAATGTTATTATTGTACTGTAGATTTTTCTCAGTGTTAGTCTTGTACAATCTTAGGAAGAAAAAATGGATTGTATTTGTAATAGCTGTTCTAATTTGTAAAATTTAAAATCTTAAGGGTTATATTTCAGTTCTAATTTCTTTATTCCTATGAGCAGCGTGTTAAACACTGACAAGATTGCCATAAGCTACCTTCTTTCCGTGAAAATACAGTCTGTACTTTAAATAATCACAAGTTTCAGTTACTTCTTCTTAAAAAATTCAAACAAACAGAAATTTTTAAGTAGATTCCTATAAATTATTAAAAGGTGATGAACTGTGGAAAAGTACAGATAATCTGCCTTCTAATCATTAAGCTGAATCCTGCTAATAATAATATTAACAAGGAGAGGGGGCAGAATAAATTTTGCATCTGAAAATACCAGTTCAGTGATGGCCTGACTGAAATGTCACTGAAGCCACGAATCACGGCTCCACACTGATACTTTGGTAGTCAGGCCCTATTTAAAGTATTTTGGAAATCACAATGTTTCTGTGTCATGAAAATGCTTTAAAAATTACGTTTATGTTTCTGGAATTGTTTTTTAGGCATCAGTAAATGCAGATATACTCCAAAGTTGGTTATTCAGAAAAGTATTTAGAATTAATTTAGTGCCTGAAGAGAAGGTCTTTTGTGAGATGTAAAGCAAGCGCATAGTATTTCTGATTAGAAAAAATTAAAACATTGTCTTCATTATGATTCTACTGAAAGGAACCCCATCAACCCCATCAACTGGGGAACCCCCAGTTGCATAAAAAAATTAATAGTCTTGGCTAAAAATTAGCTTTTGTTTTTCACTCTGTTGTTACTCTATCCTAAAATTGTATTAGTAATGATTACAGATTATAAAATGTCCAACCATATATATGATTTTGTCATCATTGGTGAAATTTTATCAGGTTCTGAAATACATTTAAGACATCTGAGTCGGATTCCATGTGTAAAACATGGCTAAGGCAACATTTTCATGATGGGGTGCCAAAAATTGCAGCCTCCAGTTCAGGTTTAGATAGCTAAGTAACAGCTCGATTTCCCCAGGTGCCACTCAGCCGTTAGCTTCCACTGACTTCAAAAGAAGTGTTGAGATCTCTACACTTCAGAGATTTGGAAACAATCGGTGCCTCCAAAAAAAGGCACCATGAATTTGAGCCTTACACAATAATTTTTGTCTGTTAGCCACCTGCGTACTCAAAAGAAATACGAACCTGATTTTCAGCTTAGGCCACAAGCTCAAGTATTAAATTAATATGGTCATTCACAGTGGGAAATCAATAGTCTGCCTGTCTGGGTGACGTGCAGTCTTCTTCATCAGAGTGAGCTGCCTTGATAATGCACTGAGCCTGTCATAGAGAGTAAATCCATTACTTTCACACTTGCCTTTTACTGGTACTCGCAAATCGGACAATTTGGTTGGCTCCGTTTTGTGGAAGAAGTGCTAAGGAACAATAAAAATTCACCAGAAGAAGTATTTGTCTGACTTTTTAACTGAACTAGTTGTTTGGGAAGTTTAGTAGGTTGCCAGTGACAATAAATACGGACTAGTAGAAAGATGCCATTTCAAGCAAACCAGCTGCAATTGCAAATAATGCATAACAAAGCCCCACACTGAACAGTTTGTTTTTTCTTAATAATCAGTTACATACATGTGTTATTCCCAACTGTGACAAGGTGATAATGCTCGTACTTTCCTGCAGCGTTCAGAGCACCTGTGAGCTCATTTCGTGAGGATGCCTAGACATATAGGGATATCACCTACTCTGTCTTATACAAGCATAGGTCAGAAGGACTCAAGCATCCTTTGTTGAGCAGAGAAGGATTTAGGTATGTTACTAAATATTTTATGAAATGAGACATGGGTGAAAAGAGAAATCCTTGTGCTGAGACCCATTTGAGAGTCTGCCATGCATAAATCCTCTCCTTCAAATATTGTACCCATTAAAATTGATTTCCATGCTCCAAGGGCAATCAAAACCCGTGACGTGTCCTGGAGCTGAGCAGAAGGCTGAAGAAGCCCTGTGGGGTGTAAAGCAGCCGGCTCTGTCCCTAATGACCAGCTGTAACGCAGAAAGCGATGGTCACACAGACTGTGCGAGGTATAGAGCAGGAGACGCAGACTAGGCTTCACAGGTAACTGTGAGGACCCCGGTTTTTGGTTGAAAAGTTGAAAAATAAAGCACATAGATGTCTTGAATTTAGAGTGACAGTTGCCACAGTGTCCCTGCCCAGGCCGTTGGGCACGCTCCTGCTCGGGGCTGCTGCTCACGCTCAGGGCTCCGGTTCCTCCGTCCTGCAGAGCTGCCCCTGGGAGAAACTCTGCCTGTTAGCAAGGGTTACCCACGTGGAGAATCACGTTGCGCACCCCTCTTCCTCCTCCTTTTTCTTCAGAGAATGACAGGGGGTAATTAATATCGCTGTACTCGATTTGAAGCTTTGTGGTCCTGCAGCAGCCTCCCATTGGGGTGGGTATTCACAGGATGTGGAGAGCTGAACAGCCTTGAACTGAGCATTTTCATACTCTCTGAATTTGCTGCAGCTGCTGTTCTGTGAGTGCATGCATTCTTGTGTTTATATTGCTTACCGTGCTGGATTAATTTGAGAACCGTTTATCATTTTAATGGAGCAGCAATAGACATTTGAAGTTCTCATCATCCTTTTTACTTAGTATTTATTACACCCAAAAAAGGATACAGAAAACAATTTCTGAAAGCTATAAAGACGAAGTTAGGAAACGCCACTGCTGTATAAGCTACATTTGGTCCCCTTGTGTGTAGACCTTTTGATTTGTTATTTAAATTAAATCCTTTTAACCTAACCTCTTTGCACAGAATTTTCCAGATGCATAATGAACAGATACAAAATTCCAGCCTGTGTTAATATACTGAACCCAACACATGCTATCAGAACCATGGTCATTTCAATTCTCCACAGCCACCTTGGCCGGTTGAGCTAACAGGGTAACTGGTAAGAGCTGGCTGTCAGCTTCCTGTCGCCTCTGTGAATCAATGTTAGTGGGGACTGGAATATGCCCTCAGCACCACAGTGAGACTTGAGAAATCAAGGGCCTTATACCTGCCCTGAAGAGCATTCCTCTGGTAAATTCAGGTAGTGAAATCTTATAAATAGTTGAGTTTTTCAGAGAAGAAAATGTTTTGATTTTGTTTTTAATATAAGCAACAGTGTTTAGCCCCATTCATATAAATAGCTATATGAAGTAATGCAGTTATAAAAACCATAACAACCTGCCTCCACCATCTCCTCCATTGCCAGCAGTCCTCAGAAGTAGGGTTAGGCGGCCGTCCAGCAGTGAAAGTTGTTTAGGTTTGATAACCCTTAGAATTACCAGTCTGTTCTACGAGATACAGGCGTAGTCCACAGGCTCTACTCAGCCATAATATTCTGTTATGGTAGGTCTTATACCGTGTGTTCCTCAAACATCTCAGAGACTAAAATGTAGTGCACAAATCAGTGGGACAAGCTACTAGAGAAAGAGTGAAAGGAACAGGCTTTTTGGTTGGAAAGGTACACTGTTTACTTTGGGGGCACTTGCCTCTTTTTCTCTCTCCTCCCTGCAACTGCTAGTATCATCAGGGAAATTGAAAAAAAAAAAAAAAAGGAAATACAAACCAAAGTATTTTATTTTCTTGTCTGAATCTATAAAATAAGGTATATGCAGAAGGAGTTAAAAAGCAGGCAGGACAGTTTTTACTGATAAACATTAGGTTTTGATAGCTCAAGTGATTTAAGTGAACAGTCATTCATTTTTTGTAGTTTACATCAGGTGTGGTGTAATAGTAAATGTGCTTTAACTAAACTGATTAATCAAGGGAGCTGTCATCCAGCAAATGATCAGACAAAAAGTGGAGCCGTAAAGGCAAAGAAGATCGATAAGCCGATAATGGATCACAAAAGTTCCTTGCCCTGAGAATCACCAAGGTCACTCTGTTAGCTATTGCTTGTCTTTAGAAAGGTCATAGGGATACAACAGGGAAGACTAATTACTCTTCAAGCCTTAAATAACTGAGAGCGTCCTTTAGAGTTCTGGGGACTGATTAGGTTGATATATACAGCTGTAGGTTGTCTAGCACTGGGAATAGCTGTATGCACACCTAGTGGATCACTCTGCAGATTGAGCTTAAACCACGAAAAGGCATTCTCAAAAAAAAAAAAGAAAAAGAATATCCACACAAAATTAAATTCAGCAGACTTCCATCACAGGCAAACCCTCAATATCTTTTCAATCAGCAGCTCTTATGAAATCTGGTGGCACATGTTCCAAAAATTATTATCCAATTCTTTATTTTCAAGCCATACTCAACTGCACATATAAAAAAGAAGCTAATTGTTTTCTTCTACTGTATTTTCCTTTTAAGTCCTGCATGTTCTAAATGCATTTAAACTTGCTTTAAAAATATGAAGTTCTGCATATGTTCAAAGCAATAGATCTCAAAGACGTTAATTAGGCATGGATGTAGAAATACATCATGTTTCATAAAATAGTTAGGAACCTAAACCTATTTGTCACTTCCATAATTCTGAAAGTTCATTTCTACTACCATTATGAACAACTCAGGAAGAGGGTACACTTTGAAGTACAACTATGATTGATTAGACTAAAGAAATTCCAGTGCTTCGTTGTGTACTACTTTAATCTTTTGAAAAGTGAATGAACAGCAGATGGCCTAATAAAGACACTCTGTATGTTTGCCCAGTATGGATTTGCTCTGAAGGGATTGGTTCAACACTTTAGAGTACATATATTTGGAATACATCTGTCTTAGTCAAGACAGATGGCTAAAGGAAAGAGAAACTTCCAAACACTTGGAATTAATCCAGTGTGAGCACCGCTTCTGAATGAAATTTTAATGGGATATGACTATTGTTCTGTTAGCTTTCTTGGAAGAATGCAGCTGTGAATAGTATAGACATACACAGTTTTGATGGCTACTAGCCAGGACTGTTTATGCTTACTTTTGAAATAAAAATATTGTTGTTAGTGCCTGTTGTTAAGGAATGGTATTTTTTTTCTAGTAGTCACTCCGGTATCTTCCATCACCTAAGCTGACTAAAATTAACCACACCCATACAAAATATATTTTTCCTACCCAGTATTAAAATTAAACTTGTTAATGTGAGACTTTAAAAGTATGTGTATGTTATTTCAATCCTGTGCAATTCCATATGCTAAATCACAAGATTCTTTTTAACTACCAATTTTAATACAACTTGCAAATTTGAAAGATCTGTGGTGTATGGATCAGGTTATGTATGAAGTAGTCTCTGCAATATATTCAGAAACATGTCAGTCAATCTGAAAAAGCATGACATACCCGTACCAACTAGAGAGTTCTGTACAACGATGAATGATTCGGGAGTTTTCTAATATAGTATTAAGATGTTGCAGTTCAGGTGACGTCTACTTTGTTGAAAAGCTCTCCATTTCAATAAGCTGCTCTGCTAATGTTGCTGTTCAGACTGTTAGGCGGTATTGCTCTCATGATGTTTCTAACTGCTGTACTCTTGTTTTCTGTTTTGCAGTAATAACAAGTAGCGGCTACAGCCCAAGATCAGCGCACCAGTACTCTCCGCAGATATATCCCTCCAAGTTAGTGTCCGCACCTCTTCTAGTCTTTTATAGGGAATTGACCTTGGCTGTAGGCAGTTCTGTGGTTTGTTGCAAACAAGTGTTCATCAGCAGAAGAGACAGAGAGAAAGGAAAATATTTAAGCCTCAGCGCTGACTCCATTATAGCTCTCTCTCCAACTTTTTTTTCCTCACATGGCTGCAGAGTAAGATCCTGCTCTGTGCAGCGCGGTATTGCTGCACAAGAAATAACCGTGAATACCTGCACACAGCAGAAGGAAAAAATCAGACTGTTACGTTCTCAGACATCAGCATCGTAACAGTGCTGGCAATGTAGACAGACATATTTTGCAGAAGACAGTTTATATTTAGAAATCACAATTGCAAGTGCAAGATGTGAACTGAGGGGTAACCCTGCCACAGACCCTCCCAGCGCCAGCGTTGCCAAACGCTTCCAAACATTCCACAGTCATGAACCACCCTTTCCTCCTCCTTCTCCGGTATCATAAGATTTAAAAATCAAATAAATTGGATTAGCTTTTGATCTCTTTTTTTTTTTTTTCTTATTTTTAAGCCAATAGGCGTTGTTAGGAATAGAAAACTTTTTCTTTGAGGAAAACAGACTCTTGGGCAGTCACATGAATCCAGGAGTGGGAACTTTAGGAAAAAGCATCAAAGATATTATATGAAATTGCTGCAGCTGGGAGGCTGTTAGTTTGCTTGTCCTACCATCAGTCTTGTGTACAAGGGTGCTTGATTCTAGTGTGCCATCTAATTGTTTCCGTGTATTTGATTTCCGTGACTTTGATAGAAAACATTGAAACTGTAGCTGATTAGGCTTTTTCAAGTTTCTTTAACAAATTTGGATTCATATCATGATAGCCAATATTTATTGATACAGAAAATAGGTGCCTGAACTAAGAACAGTCCACCTTATTCCAATTAAAACAGGTTTTGGCAAACTCTATCTGATACTTTCGGCCAAATACATTACAAGGTTTAATAGAATTTTTAATCTACTGTAATAATTTATTGGCATCTAAATTAATGAGTAATCCTTTTCTGATAGTAACTGCTGCCAACTGTACTGAACTAATTAGAAAGAAAAAATAAAAAAAAATTAGAATCTGAAATTTAGTCATGGCTTTTAATGGTCAGGTTTCAGTTAGCATAATTCTGCAGAGTATGTTTATTCAACTTTTCGTCCATAAAGTCTTATTTGACTTACAAACAATCCAAGACAAATGTTTCTCTGTATGTTTTTGCAACTCTGGAGGGCAAAAATTTTAAACTTGATTTTATTCAATCTTTCTATAAAACCCCAGTATTTATAAATAAAAGACCATTTTTATTTCCATTCTATTTTCCTAGCCCATATTTTCCAAATGTTTAAAGCCCATCTGGTTACCAAAGTATTGCCGTCAATATTTTTCATGCTGCTCTCAATGGGCACGATCCATCTCCCATTGAAGCCAAGAGGCTAGATGTCTGTTGAAGCAGAACCGTACACAGAGGACGGCTGCATGTAGTAGGTTTAATGTTCACCTCTGTTTTTCCTTTATTCTTCTAGTCCAAGTTTCCCTCCACTGGATTAAAAAAGCATGAGAGCTTTTCTGATTTAAGCAGGCTGATCTTGGCTCAAAGGGGTCAAGTCCGTATAAAGCCGTATAGCGGTGGCACAGTCCACCTAGAGTTGGGCACAGTAGCTTGAGAACTAAACTGTAGAGATGGGACAGCACAAAATATTCACCGTGCCCTGGGGAACGTGAGCCAGAGTGTTTTTCATCTTATTTCAGTGGGTGATGGAATAAATCCCAGAAGAGGAACAGTTGGCAGAATAATAAACTGCCTTTGGACATCTTTAAGCCTTTTTCTTTACTTTATTGCTTGAATCAACATACAAAGTATTTGTTGCCACAGTAATGCTATTTTTCCTGATATTTAGGCCCTATCCACACATTCTTTCTACACCAGCAGCTCAAACAATGTCTGCCTATGCCGGACAAACCCAGTATTCAGGAATGCAGCAACCAGCGGTCTATACAGCCTACTCTCAGACGGGACAGCCGTACAGCTTGCCCACTTACGGTATTTGGCCTCTTATTACTTCACCTTATGTAGAAGTAAGAGCAATGCCAGCATGAATTTTTTTTTTTTCAAATGTTATTTTCCCAACTGTAAGAAAATATTTTAAAGAATCAGTTAAAAATTAATTTCTTATACAGATTTGGGTGTAATGTTGCCAGGCATCAAGACGGAAAGTGGGCTCTCGCAGACCCAATCACCGCTGCAGAGCGGGTGCCTCAGTTACAGCCCAGGGTTTTCCACCCCACAGCCAGGCCAAGCACCCTACTCTTACCAGATGCCAGGTGAGTAGCCACCGCCATCAGGGCTCGCCCCGTCCACCGCTGCCGACAGCCCCCTCTTCCCTCATAGTGATGATAAGATTTTCCATTCATTTTTGTGAGCTCCAGCAAGTATGCGTATCATTGGCAGATACTTTTACCTCTAAAATCTAAGGCTAAGTACTTTTCCCAGTACTGATACGCATGTATGTGTTCATACTGGTCATCTGTTAATTTGGATCTGGTCATGCAACGCAGTCCCTATTTGCACCTTCATTTTTTTATGGGGTGAAATCACATGGCAGGACTGGAAGCATTTATTGTATTTATTAGCATACACAAGTCACTTTTCCTTGTTTCCCTGTTTCTAAGTATGACATCATTTGATACGTGTTTCTCTTTGAATGAACATAATTTGTTAGAATTTCTCCTTCTCATTTATTATTCAATTATTAATTCACTTATTTCCCTTTGATCATCGATAACCTGTTTTATCTGGGTAATTTTTAAGCTTCTTATACAGCAGTTAATCTTTTAAATATTACAAATTACAGTATGAATCATCTGACTTGTGTTGAAAACAAGGACATGCCTCATTACAGATCGATTAAAAACACCTGGGTGATTAAAATATTATTTGAAAAGTTTTTTTTGTTTCAAAAATGAACAGACGCTAAAGTGTTAGAACTTAGAAATGAAGGTGAAAGAGAAAAACAATATTTGAGGAGAGGTGAGACACTGCAATAAATTGAAAAATGCTTTCTTGATCCACGTAATGACTTACTGCCAATACCTTCCTTGCATGGTGTGAAGAGGAATGTATGTCTGTATGCGTGGAAGTAGCATTTCATCTCTCTTAAAGTTTCATTACCATATTTTATTGTTTAAACAGAATATAAAAGTTGTTTGTTCTTCTGATTCATCTATATCTTAACATGGAATATTGTATTTAAAATGTTATTTTGATTCACAAGCAATTTCTCACAGTTAATTGTATTTTTTTAATTTTAGGTTCTAGTTTTACACCATCATCCACTATTTACGCAAACAACTCTGTTTCAAATTCTACAAACTTCAGTAGTTCACAACAGGTATAAATATTAACATTTTTGTCAAATTGTCATAATTTGTCCATTACAAAAGGATTTTTATAACTCCAATGATAGCATGTTATTTTAATTTAGATCTGTTATGTTGAATTAGACTCACCGTGGTTCAATGCTATTTTTTGTGGAAAGTGATCAAAATCCCAGTGGCAGCCTGGCTGCATCTTTTGGCACTTAAATACTTCAGCAACCTCCCTGTAGTCTTTCAGTAAATATCCTTAAATGAAAATATGTTAAATATCCTTTAAAAAAATCTAAACTTACCCCTCCAAAATTCTTGCAAAAGTCATATGATTGCACACTTAGAAATACTTAATGGGAAAATCACAGGTTACTCTACTTAATTAAGTACTCTGCTGCATTTGGTGTTTTAGGATTATCCATCATACACAGCTTTTGGCCAAAATCAATATGCACAGTATTACTCAGCATCAACATATGGTGCATATATGACCTCAAACAACACGGCTGATGGCACTTCATCATCATCAACCTACCAGCTGCAGGACTCTCTCCCTGGCCTGACTAGTCAACCAGGTACAGATCTACATTCAGGTGAAAACAATTTTTGTATTTTATTCTGTACTTTCAGATTTCCATATCCATATTTTTTGAATATTGACATTTTATGCTCATGCCTTTCAGGAAACTTTATCATGCAAACCAGCCAAAATAAGATTTTTTTGTTGTTGTTTAGTTTGTTTGTTAGTTAAATAAAGATCTTTGCAGACTGAGATGCTTGTGGAAGGAGAAGGCCTGAAAAAAGTTACAGCAGCCTGGTAGGGATTTGTTAGTATCGAAAACAACCAAATCGTAACAAACCTTTAATAAATTTTGAAAGAAAAGTTCAGTGAGCTCTCCTATTACTGACAGTGGAACATTCCTGTATCCACTGTATCTGAAGTACTGCTGTAAACAATTTAAAACAAGATACTAGTGTTCATTTAAATATGCCCCGATCATGCTAGCAGAAGTACATGGGCTTTATTCAAATGTATACAAGTTGTGTTTGCTAATTCACAAATTTAGGTTACTAAGAATAGAACAGTTGGTGATTAGTACAAGTCTCTTAAAAAAAAATAGCACTGAAGTAGCTGAAGTTGCAAAAAGAATGTTCTTAGGAGACATTGGAGACTGAATTTGCCTGCCCAACTCTGCCCTCTTGTGCACATCCACTACAACACCGTATTTCGTTACACAGTTCTATTCTTAGGGCAGTGCTGCGGGATAATGGCAGGTCTTCATTTTTTTCTCATTGTCGTTATAACCCAGTTCACGGTCATGTATCTGCTCCATTCTATGTGTTCTGCAAACACACATGTTAACATAGATTTCTTTCTTCTTTTTTTTTTTCATGTTAGATTTCTAAGTTCCTGAACATCTCACCAATTTTTTCCCCCATTTAATATAAATGGGACTAAAGTGAAGTAAAGTTAAAACTATGTATGTGAAATGATGCACAGTATAGTGCAGAGCTATGACGATCTTGGGAGTTTAGGAATTCACAGCCACAGTCGGAGGAGTGTGGCATCCTTACTGGGTGAACAGAGCCTGCTTATTCATGCTCACTTTCCCATATTGCTTGTATTATATAGGAAGTTCTTAAAGATCTAGCTGAGTATTGGGTCATATATTCATAACCTAAGCAGCCCACTAAGGCTGTGCGTCGTGTCTGTGGGAGAGGTTGTTGATTGCCAGCTGCCTGGCTCAGCGTTGCTAGACCGATCTCTTCCAGGGACCCCGGCTTCACTCAGCACCGTGGGTAGTGTCGGCCTTACCCGCAGGCTGCGAGCATTTATAAAAAGACTAGCAAACTGGGGCTTGGGTTAGGCTCTGAATGGGGGGGGGGGAATGGGATTTAATCACAAAATCAACTCATTGCATAAATCTCCCCGATTCTCATTCTAACAACTGCAACATCTCACTGAAAAGTATAGTACAAAAACCAATGTATTATAATAATGAATTTGTACAAAGGAAGGGTAATACTGTATAGAAAAATATAAGCAAGGCCTCATACTTCATATAAGCTGCTTAAATTTACTAAAAAAGTTGGAATTTTAATTGCATGTGTAGAATTTTTTCCTTGCCAGCTGTTTTCCTCAGGCTGGTTTTTAAAGCATTTGTGTGTGTGCATGTGCGTGTGCACATGCATGTTTGCTGTATGGTATGGTATGGAATGGATATGGGGAGATACACGTTCCCTTGGTTTTTGATGAAAGTGTAAAACATTATTCAGCAGTCTCAGGATGCAAATTTAGGAAGAAAAAGCTAAGAAGTAACTTGAAATCAAGTGAAATATTTAGCAGTTGCAGAACATCCATAACAGACACAAATCATGTATTTTAAGAGTGTGAAGAGTTCTCACAGCTGACGCTTTGATAATTGCGCATGTTCTGTGTATGTCTCTTTGTTTCTTTGTTATTCCTCCATTTTTTTATTCGAGAAAATCAGTGTTTCCCATATTGTCCTCCTTTGCGTATGTGTTTCCTAGAAATGTTGTATAAATGTACCATGTATTACAAACTCCCTTAGTAATGAATAACGTTGAGAAAAGAAAGGACTCCTACAGTCCTTGAGCAGGTTGAAAAAATATTGAAGGCTTCACATCTACGAAACAGTAAGGATTTTTCTTGTTTGTGGGTTGTTTAAGCATATGAACTTGTTTTCCTGTTAAATAGCTTATGCATCTGAACTTACAAACCTGCCCACACACTCCTTATTTCTGTGAAGTGTTGCACTGATCATGCGACCCTCTGCTGAGAGTGCAACACCCACTTTGCGAATACATGACATGCCTGTGCCCTTCTGTGTCACTGTAAAAATAAATTTCCGTCAGTGAGGTGCAGTTTCTTGGAGATCACTTCAGATACCGTGTTCACTTGCTGTCTAACAGGCCTTTATTGCTCGGTCCTTAAGACTTACTGCAACTAAAACCTAAGATTAAATACAGCAAGGCACTTCACTCTTCTGCCATCTCTGCTAGCTATTAATTCAAAAAACTAATCGAAGCCTCTAGTACTCTCCACACATACAGGATTTCTTGTTTTCATAATAAAGCCCCATCAGATCAAGAGTTAATATCAGTTACAATTTTATTTATTGACCAAGTGAAGAAAATGAGATGAAAATTGAAACAGACTTTAGTCTTTCTGCTACTCATAACAAGCAATGACACATTACAAGCCAGGAAAAAGGAGGTTTGTAATGCTGAAGCCATCTTCTGGCTGCTCTTTCTGCTAAGAATATGTAACAAAAGTCTATCCATAAGGAGAGTGTGAAGGGGCTCAGAAGTTCATCCATCCCACATCTGCGTAAGGCTCAGCTCCTTGCCCTTCCCATGGACTTCTCTGTTTGCATTGTACCTGCCCTACATTAAGATATTTTTCAAAATGCACTCATTACCACAGAGTATCTGTGAGACAAATAGGTACCTCCAGGGGCACTTCATCTCAAATTGGTATAAGTCAGGAGAATCCTTAAGGGATTCTGCCTCAGGAGATGAGTACATCTGAGTATATTCAATGAGTACCTGAGTACATTTAATCTAGGGTGGGTAAACTTCTAGCAGAGGAAATAGGTCTGTAGGGAGCCTAGGTAAAAGCTTCATGTTTAGGCACCTCACCTTCGTATGTCCAGGGTTAAGCAAAGTGATATTGTAGGATATTAGCTCCAATTCGGTTACTGGGATGCAGCAGACCATGGTCTCTCTTAATTTGGTACCCACAGTGAAGTCACCCTTTCAGCTTCTCCAGGAGATGGCATTATGAAAAACAGTGCAAAAGTCTATATGCAGACTGCCCACACCTCTTTTCTCCTGGTTAAGTGGCACAGCTGTGCTTTAACAGGGAGGAGTGGATGTTCGCATCAAACTAGAGGTGGGAAACAATGTTCTGGATATGAAAAACCACCTCCTTTTGTAACAGTGGTGCTGTAGCTCCCTGTCCTCTAACTGGAGCTGCTGCGAGGTCTCCACGGCATGGAAGGCTTCATGCTGGACATGAACCAGTGTGTATGAATATGTGTATGAACATCTGTGATAAAGTGGTCATTCCATGTTCTGGTTTTAACATTTTCCTCATGCTTTATTGGATCTCTGATGCTGCTTATAGTTCCAGTGGGAGATGGCTATGAAGTATATTTATTAGGCATGTGTTGAATATTGGAAAAGCTAAAATATTTCAAACATTGCTATAAAAATTACTGTCTAATACGAGCTGCAGTAGGAACTCTTCATGAGTTTCAAGGTTTTCAGTACTCTTTGGTACTAGAATTTCTCACATTCTTTTATGTTACATGGCTGAATTTTTCATAAGTTTTCCTTTTATCAGCATTAACCTCATTTCTAAAGCAAATGGAGGATAAGAAAATGCAGTTGCTTCTTTAGCCTGCTGTTGGTAAAAAGCAAATCAAGCAATTAAGCCTACAGTTGTTCAAAAAAACCATGCACTACTGACTTCTGCAGTTCTAAAATAGATGCATACCTTGCGTTCAAGTAAGAGACAGCTGCTCATTCTGATTTAGAGATTACAGTAATGAAATAAAGTTGGCCTTAAATATCTAGAACTTACAAGGTACAGTGATTAGTTGCAGTACCCATTAATGGATAATTAAGCAATCATGTATAGTGTTGACCCAAACAGAAGCCTGGGGCAACTGGTACTGGCTAATGCTAAATGAAAATTGAAGTTATTTACTTCAGTTGTTGCATACTTTCAGAGAAGATTTAGAACAGGGCTTTTTTATATATTTTATTTTTGGTTGATTAGAGTAAACACAGTCATTGAGAACAGATGTTTTAATACATTACTGTAGAAATGAGTCTTCATTTTGTTGTAAAATGTTGAAATGTTACAAATATGAAGACTTTTATGGTAACAATCTAAACATTCACTTATTTAATTTTTTGGCTTTTCATTTCTGGGGTTTTGTTTTGGGATATTTTTTCCACTCTGTCAGAAAAATCTAGGAAATTATGTTTTTGTACAGAACTCTTGTACTCTCAGAACTACTTTTGAAGCCAGTGTAGGTTTTTGCTGCATGAGGATCCTGGTTATGAAGCATCTTGTTGTACATTTTGTACATTTGCCAAAGTATAATTTGCTGTTGATTTACAGAGAAAGAATGAAGATAATGTGACCTTATTGATCACTCCACTGCCTGCAGTGTCCTTACTGACATCAACACCGTGCTGGGAATAGAAATGATTAGTCAACAAGAACTCTCTCTGTGTTCTGTTGGGACAAAGTGAAAACAGCATGGGAACATTATTCATTAGATATTATTATTGCTGCTCAATTTTCCCATCATTTCTTGGCAAATAAGAGTTTTAGCTGAAAGAGAAAATACTATAGAATGCATTATATATGCATATATCCAGACCTCCTTAAAATGATATCTGGAATAAATTTTCAAACTGCAGTTCTGAAAAATCTCTTCTTAGCTGTTGCCTGAAAGTTTGGCTCTGCTATGCACAAGCAGAGAAGCACATTGGTTTTGTGACATTGAACTAGTCATCGCCTAGTTTGAGAAAAAAGTAGTAGTATCTTCTTCCAGGTGACAGCAGAATAATTTGAGTACTTTCCCAGGAAGTCGAGAGACAGATTTGATTTGTTGATCTGTTGCATGGAGGATTCATCACCTTCCACTTAGGGGTACAGAGATGTGCATTCTGGGTCATGAAAATATGCCTTTATACTTCATATATATTGGTCATTCAGTCAAATAAATCAGTGTGCCCTGGAGAAGGCAGTGGAACTTAGATATGTCCTTCTCCAGGAAAATGTCCTAACCAATCAGCTTGGGAACTAACTTTCTTCTTGTTCTCCCCTTTCCTTGAATCTTGAATTATTTCCTCACAATGTCTAGAGCTCCCATTCAGGAATGTGACATTATGGGTTTACATCTTATTCTTCCAAGAACTACAACAGTATTTTTCCAGTCAAGATACATAAATAGATCTTCCTGGTGTATTTATTTTAATAATCTTCTGTATGTGGTTCTCTGTAAGGTATAAATAAATGATGGAAGAGATTAAGAATTTAACTATTGTGTTACATTATGTACAGACTCTTAATTGAGACTGCAGTCTATTTTTTCTTCTTAGAGCCTGCTAGACTAGAGTTGTTTTCTTCTGTGTTGTGGAGGGAGAATGAGGTGAATGACTCAGGGAAGATCACAAAATCATTCAATCATTCACATTGGAAGGGACCTCTGTGGGTCTTTTAGTCCAACCTGCTCATGGACGAGCCAACTTAGATTATGTTGCTCAGGGCTGTGTCCAATTGAGTTTTCAGTATCTCCAAAGATGGAGAATGCACAGCCTCTCCAGACCTGTCCCAGGGCCTGACCGCTCTCAAAGTGAAGGATTTTTATCTTGTATCTAACAGGAATATCCCTTGCTGTGATCTCTGTCTGTTGTTTCTTGTCCTTTCTCGGTATACTTCTGTGAAGACTCTCTCAGCCTTTCCTCCTGTGTGCTCAGCCACTTAACTGTCTTGGTGGCCCTCACCTGGACTAACTCCAGTTTGTCCATATCTCTCTTGTATTTGGGAACCTAAAACTAGACATTTTTCCAGACGTGTTCTTGCAGTTCAGAACGGAGCAGTAAAATCACTCTTCTCAATCTGATGGCCACTTTCTCTGTTTCCTGGTGGACTTCAGTGACCACAGTGATGCTCCTTTGTAAAAATGAATAATGTTCAGATTCCAGCTGTAGATCAGATGCATTATAGGTGATTCTTAGGAAATGTTTGTACTAAGTGTTAATTTATTCTGCAGATGTACCATCATGAGCATTTTTAACAAATATTACCCAGAAACAAACAATTACATGCAGCACAAGGACTCCCTTGAATCAAGCTCTGTAGTAGATGTCAGATCTAAGCTGTACCCTTTCCTTCTTTAATGGAGAAAAATCAAATTGTTAATAGGATAGATGATGAAGGAGAATTTATGTCATTTAGCACTTGGGAACCTAGCCAAACTGCATTTATTGCTAGTTTTAAAGAGGCACCGAAGGTACTGTGTTATGAAGTAAGGATATTTTCTATTTACTGAGCTGTGGCATAAAAATACTTTGTAAAGGGAAGTTCCTACCTTCTTCAGTCTGTCTGTCTGTCTTAGCTACTGTTTTGTGATCTCCTCTAAAGCCCTTTGTTACCAGCAGAGGCCAAGTAGATTAAAAGGGTAAGTCAGGGATAGGTCTGAGTGTTAAGAGCAATTATGCCATGCCAGATCAAAGGTCCTTCTAGCACATCTTCTCTCTGACAGCAGACAATAGCTGATACTTAGAGAAAGATGATCAGAATACAAGAAGTATGACTTCACTCTCTTTCTGTTAGTAACTGGAATATTGCATTTAAGAGGTAAGGTGAAAAAAAAAAAGTGAACTCTACTAAAGAGCAGGTGACATCGGAGGAGGAGACGAAGCAGGAAGCTGACTAGCTTTTCTGGTGCATGGCTGAGTGCCAAAGGGTGTTCTGGTAGAAGTAACACATGACTTGGAAATAAGTCTAGCTGAACTCCAAACGTGGGAAGTGAACTACTTTAACTTTTACTTTTTTGGGGGTGTTGGTGGATGAGAAGCTCAACATGACCCAGCAATGTGCGCACGCAGCCCAGAAAGCCAACCATATCCTGGGCTGCATCAAAAGAGGTGTGACCAGCAGGTCAAGGGAGGTGATCCTGCCCCTCTACTGTGTTCTTGTAAGACCCCACCTGGAGTACTGCGTCCAGCTCTGGGGTTCCCAACATAAGAAGGACATAGACCTGTTGGAGAGGGTCCAGAGGAGGCCACAAAGCTGATCAGAGGGCTGGAGCACCTCTACTGTGAGGACAGGCTGAGAGAGTTGGGGTTGCTCAGCCTGGCAAAGAGGAGGCTCCAGGGAGACCTTATAGCAGCCCTCCCGTACCTAAAGAGGGGACAGGAAAGGAGGAGAGGGACTGTTTACAAGGGCATGGAGTGATAGAATATGGAGCAATGGGTTTAAGCTGAAGGAGGGGAGATTTAGATTACATATTAGGAAGAAATTCTTCAGGTGAGGCACTGGAACAGGTTGCCCAGAGACGTTGTGGCTGCCCCCTCCCTGGAAGTGTTCAAGACCAGGTTGGATGGGGCTTTGGGCAACCTGGTCTAGTGGAGGGTGTCCCTGCCCATAGCAGGGGGGCTGGAACTAGATGATCTTTGAAGTCCCTTCCAACCCAAACCATTCCATGATTCTATGAACTAAAAGGCACTTCATGGTTTGAGAAGTCATTAGTGTGACTTTTAAAATACATCTTCCTTGGATATATCAATATTTTGCATGTGCTCATGTGTATTTGTATGTATGTATATGTCTGCACGTGTACATGTGTCATTTTAATCTTTCTGTTATTCTGCTAAGGTTTATAATGTTTCCTTGGTAAAGTCAAAAGTTACGTGGTATCTGCAGATTCCATCTACATAAGACAAACCATGTTATCACTCATTTTATACAACCTTTTTAGGTGCATGTTGTGGTTGAGTTCGCATACGGACATATCTAGCTATGAGAAAGAAAAGTTTATTATTTAAAAATCCAACACTAATTTTGCCATGAATGGTTGACTTTACAGGGGAGTTTGACACAGTGCAGAGCCCCTCCACGCCAATCAAAGATCTTGATGAGAGAACATGTAGGAGTTCTGGGTCAAAGTCTCGAGGTAGAGGGCGGAAGAATAATCCATCACCCCCACCGGACAGTGACTTGGAGGTATGCCTGTGGTAATTGATGAATGATAATGTGGAGGTTTCTTCTGATTAAAAGTAAATTCTGAAAACTACAGCTGTGGAAATAGCTTGAGGCATTTTAGAAAACATCATGGACTCAGTCTCGCTAACTGAATATAACAGATATTAGTTGCTGTTTTAACATACATGTACAGTGAGACATTTCTGTTTTTTATGACAAAGTTAGGCAGAAAAGTAAATGTGATTCTGCCTTGCACTTTTTAGCTCTAAGATTGTGTGTCTTTCAGTTTCCCATGCAATGGAACCTCAAAATTGTGAGACTTCAAAATTGTCACGTTTTCTTTTAGGTTTTTGACTAGAAAATCTCAAACATATTGCTCAGCTTAATTACGTGTATTTATGAATGCAGTGTAAATATGCAGGATCATCTGGCCATAGCCTTTAAGATACTTATGCACAGGTTTGTCCTTGTGCTTGTAAGTAATGTCAGTGGATTTCAATGAGGCAGCTTACATCAGTGAAGTTATGGCTGTACTTAAGTATGTGCGAGATCAGTGCCTTAGTGAAGAAATATATCTGCCTAATATATGGGGTGATGATTTAAAACACAGGTGACCTCTTAGCAGCGGAGTAATTATAGTCTTATTACTCCTGTGTTAGCAGTGTGTTGCCTTACAGTGACAGGAGGAAGAGGAATTGGGGTGCCTGTGTGTGTGTGTGATACACTCCAGCTCTGGCATCAGGGGAGCGTGCTGCCCACCGCTGCGGTGCGTGCCCTCCTGCCACCACACCAGCACCAGGGGTGAGCAGCCCTGGCCAGCCCCACAGCTCTGCCTTCTCTGACTGGCTCTGGGCACAGCAGAGGATCATAGAATCATAGAATCTTTAAGGTTGGAAAAGACGTCTAAGATCATCAAGTCCAAACATCGACCCAACAGCACCATGTCTACTAAACCATGTCCCGAAGTGCCATGTGTACACATCTCTATGATTCTATGATTCAAAGAAAAGACTTGTAACTTCCTGCATTTCCATTTTCCTGTCTCTTTTATAGTTTACCAGTGAAAATTAACCCCTTATCAATATAAGGATTTTCTTTTCTTTTTTTTTTTGAGTTAGAATAATCCATTTTGTCCTACAATATTATTAAAATTCTGTATGACATTATATGTGGCATATAGCACTTTTATCCAAGATTTAATTTTAGCTGTAGAGCAGAAATTGCAGAGAAGTATCTGAGAGTACTGCTTATCCTTAAGTTAACAATTATGTTTGACCCCTATCATGTTTCTGAAATCTGTGTTATACAGCGTTTTAGAAAAGCTTTTTAAAGGACAAATAAGAAATGGTTGAAGAGTTCAAAAATTACTCTCCTTCTGACTTTTTACCATGCATGATACGCTGTTCTTGCTGATTTTTGGAGAAAACCTGCTCAGTTAAGTGACTGGTTAAACTTTAGAACTGAGTTGACTTTTAGGCCCCCTGGGTGGGATGGTGGTGAGACTTTGATGTTATTTGCTTAATAATATCATGCCCACTTCTGTTTTCAGCGTGTATTTGTTTGGGATTTGGATGAAACAATCATAGTTTTTCATTCGCTGCTTACAGGATCCTACGCACAGAAGTATGGCAAGGTACGTGAGCCGTGAAATCTGCGTCGATTCACTGTATCAGAGCTATCTACCCTGTACATTAATGTGTTTTTCACCTTCCATGTTCATCATGGCTTGGGTGAAGGTAGAGGGAAAGTGTACAGTAAACCCTATTTTCAGAGGGTTAATGTGAAAATGTCAAGGAGAGAAATGAGACACAGACCCTAGGCACAATATATGAAGCAGGGCTGAAGCAGATGCTGCAAATGAGGGAAGAGTTTATAGAGGAGCAAGGATGAATTCCTGAGGTACGTTGGAAGAGATGCTGCAGGGAGATACTAGAGGTAAAGGGCAAATGGAAATAACTATTTGGATGTGTAGGGGAAGAAATAAGAAATAAACTGGAGCAATGGGTGAATTTACAGGGAAACTGATGAATCAGAATGAGCAAGTAGGAGACAGCCCGGTTTCAACGCCAGTTGCAGATGTTGTTCTTTGACTCCAGCTTTTCCATTGAATCTCTGGTTTCCTTGGCTGGCTCTCGGATGAGTAATGCCAGGGAGTGAATCCCTCTCCCAAGCAGACAGTTGTACTCATCCTCTCCCCTCCAATGAGATCCAAAAGAGGTTTAGGTCACGGAGCAGCAAGCAGGAGAGCAGAGAGGGGCGTTCAAAGCCTGCAGGGGCAGAAGCAGGAGGTCCCCTGCTGAGTCAGCAACACCCCACCACACCCCA